AATTTATGGGAAATATTCTAGTTTGTTAGATAATCAACGCACGCTTTTCTATATTTTGATCGCTGTACTTTCTATGATAGTCAGTATCTTATACAATTATATTTGCTCGATAATATATTATTGTTGATTGCATTGTAAACTGGTCAACTTAGAACTTTTCTTGTTTTTTTAAAATTGTTCATACTTTGTCATACGCAGCGTTGTTTCATCGAGATAAGACATGATGTTTGAACACAGTCGATGACATTTGCTTTTGCGAGTGAAGAGCGCCTCGGACACACGATAATGCACTGGAAAATTAACTACAACTTTTCCATGTGATATAACTTTCAATAATATTAAACTAAGAAAGCGATCTCCCTTGTTTATGTCCTTTCGACCTCTGATTTTCGCACGCTATCATAATTATTATGAGCAGTTGGATGACACAGGCAACATGCAATTAAAGCATTTGTATATGCAGCATGACAGATCAAGAGATTCTATTTTTACAGCATTTCATGCAAAAGTTTAATTTGCAGATGAATTTGATTAGTGTTTCATTGGCACACATATTAATTAAATTTTGACATGTTTTTATATTTCAGGCCTTGTCTTCACTAGAAAATTTAATGCGGAATTAAGGAACTTGATTAGTCGAAAGTTTAATTCACATTTAAAGCACTTTCGAAAGATGAATTACTTTAATTCATCTTTCGAAAGTGCATTAAAGTGAATGCACCAATCAAAGTCTAACTAAGTCCACATTCTCCAATTGAGTTAATGAAAATATGAGAACAAAAACGTAAAAAATGATCAGGTGATCTATATCATACATTATATACATTTATAATAGATTGTTTTCCATTAAAAAACATAGAACATCATAAAAGATACACAAGGATATAATGATTATGAGGATGCAATAAGATAAATTTTCTCTGCAGTTGAATTATCTTCATTTTTATTATTAAAATTATGAATAATACATCATATGTATTTAAAAATGAAATTTTGTATTATTTAGTCGTTATGTTATTAAACTAATCTTTTTTGGAAAAAATTCATCGTTTCGTTTTTAACATTTTCTAAATGTATTAGAAAAGTTTATATTAACATTTTAATACCAGTTGAAAAAGGTGCATCGATAAAATTTTATAATAAATGTTTATATCATTATTTGTTACTGATCAACTTAATATTGAACTTGATTTAACACTGTCATTCATCACATCAATTTTTAATTTTTCAATTACAAAAACATTTTACGAAACAGTTTAAAACAAGGAGAAGCAAAAAAAATAACGTTAAATATTAAAATTAGTTCAACAATGAATGGAAAAGAATTAACTAAATATGTTATAGCACATGCTCGTATACAATTTCTTAATCGAAAAATAATTAAATCATTTAAATATGTTCATTTAACTATCTTATTTTAGTTTTAATTTGTATACAAACAGAAGCAAACCTTTATAAAGCTTTTATCTTTGATATAAATATATGAAAGGTATAGTAAAATTATTTTAAAATTTTAACAAAACTCAAACATTATCATTTATTATAAGAAAAACTAGGAATTATATGGAAGGACAGTTCTACAGACAGGAGCGTAAATAGGGGGGGGGCGCGTGGGGCGCGGCGCCCCCCCCCCCCCCCCTGCTTCCGAAAACTAACAGGAAAAAAGGGGTTTGCGCCCCCCTACTTCTAGAAAGTTCACTTTTTTTGACCATTGAAATAGAAAAATTAGGGTTACGCCCCCCCCTGCACCCCCCTGCTCTGACACCTGACTTACGCCCCTGTCTATAGATGTTATAACATATTAATGTAGTTAGTATAATTTTCTATTTATTATATTATAAATACTTTTACATATTTGATGTTAAATTACTGATACATATTCTATTTACATATCTTTAATTTTATAATCTAATTCTTAGATATGCAGATATTATCTTTACAAAAATTTTCCATTTCTATGAAATATTAGTTTAATCATTATAAGGCGTACATGATTAGGGATACAAGAGATAGGTTCATTTGAGTTAATAGTAACTATCGAAACATATACCCTGTAATAAAATGAATTCGTTTACTATTTTTGTTCTTCGACTAATTTATCTATCGTAAAATTTCGTAATGCTATATTTTTCAAGACTAATAGAAATTTATTGAATATATATTAAACTGATAATACAATTCAACTTTGAAAAAAATGTTATATCATCAGTTTAATATTCATAAAGTCATTTAAAATTGTTTACACATCTTTTTGAATATCAACACATGAATATTTAATAAATGAGTTTTTTTTAAATTGCATACATCTGAAAAAATCTAATCGATTTTAATCGGAAACATACATTTCCGCTTGAACTCGAACGCTATTATAAAAAAGATAAGTATACATTACTAAATATTCTTAGTAAAAAAATTTCACATTATCAAATTTCGATGATTAACGACATTCATCTACTCTACCACGTTATTGACCATCTTAATATCTATTTTATAGCCGTCTAATTGATAACTTATCTGTTTTTGATTTTACATCAACTGTTGTTAGTCAACAATAAAATGATTTAAACGAGAATCAATCAAATTTTCTTCCTGAAAATTCTTTAGAAATTTGTCTATGTAGAAAAGATGATAATAAACCAAAATCAGTTGAAGGTACAGCAGATGATGAAATAGAAGTATAATTTAAAGAAATACTTTTTTCTAATATTTTAGTGTTTTTAATAGAGAAATAGGTCAACGATTATTAAAATCTCGATTAAGTCCAATATACAATATCCATTGAAAAAGATCTTGATATTTTATTTGGTAAACAAAACTAGTTACTTTCTACTGTGTTAATAAATGATCTTAAATCAATTCTTACAAATTTTGGTACAAAATTAAAAACAATTATCCAAGATAAATCAAATATAAATGATTATTCAACATGGTTTTTTTATTAGCATTTCAACAGCAGGAATATATTCATCGATGTATCATGTGAAATAAGAATTATCTTTGTAAAACTTCTCGACAGTAATAATAGTTGTGAATAAACTCTCGGTCATTGAATACGGGTATCAGTAATATCAATTTCTGCTAAATAATATATCAAAAAGTATCGTTCATAAAATAGAATCTATCAAATAAAAAGATTGTTTTCATAGTTTTTAATTTAAGTATAAATCAACTTCTATTTCAATTTTGAATAAATATGATATAAAATCAGAAATACGATTAGTCTACAAAAGCTATTCAATTACTTTCTTTAAACAATAAAAAATGTCTATAATTTTTCTTTATCTTATTCTTCGAATAAATATGCATGACCTTTTGAACATATGAATATATAGCACGCCGTCGCCGGACGTTGAATAGGCTAAAAAAAATCGTAACGAAATAAACAACATCATTGGTCATTTTTGACATCTTTTTTTTTCAGTTCAATGTTAATTCATCTAATTTTTCCAGTCTATTCGGAATCATTCGTCTATCTATCATAATAAATCTGTATCTAATCTTTGAATAGTTGTAAAAGGTAATGATGAGTAAAAGTACATTTGAATCATTACCAAATGAACTTTTGCTCATTATATTTTCTTATTTATCTTCATTTGATCTTTGTCAAACATTTCTTTACATAAACAATATTCGCATTCAATCTCTTCTTACTTCAATTCGTCATTTATTTAATGTTAATTTGATGCATTATGATCAACTACATCTATGGCTCAATAGTAATCAGGATCATAGAAATCGCTTTACTAATTTGATAGATACTGTTGTATTTAATGATTCATATGCTTGTCGAACGTTACTTGGATATTGGGAAAAGACTTTCAATGAAACCGATCAATCCAATGTATTCTTCGCATCGGTAAAACGCATTGTTGTGTTACAGGCAGAACACTATTCATATTCTCTTGTTCGACCAATACTAGTACCTTTGGTTTTGGCTGAAAATAAATTACAACATTTGCATCTTATCTTCAAAGAACCCGCATTCGGGTACGCAAAGATACTTTCCGATCTTATTGATTATCGTGTTTCAGTTCATACTATGATATTAGAAGTTGAACAAGGTATGTTATTAAAACTATTATCGAAGTCAACAACTTGAATGACCAACAGGATTATTATAGTTAGATTTATCATGCAGAATAGAGTGAGAGATTTCAAATGGTTTTTAGATTTGAGTTGTACTGATGTGTTAAGGTGCTTGAACTTGATACAATAGTTATGCGAATATCTGACGATTCGATTATCTCTAATACTTAGCTGATTAAATTGATATTTATCATATTGTAAGTTATAAATTATTTTATATGAATATATAAGTGTCTTATATTCAAAAAGGACCCTGGCTTATATTCTACTAGGATGAATACGAAATTTTATGATTTAAGAAAGCTTTACAGTGTGTTGGAGTGATCTTCATGGAAATAAGTTGCCAAATGATGAACATTATGTTGTTTGTGCTTGTATAAAAGATTCATATTGAAAAATACTTCTAATATGATAGAAGAAGTCGCCATAACGATCGTTTAATGTTCTTTATAGTGATTTTTATCAGTCAATTAAGGAAACAACTTACAAACAAAGTGACATATCCATATAGAAAGAAAAAAATCAAATTCTTGTTGAATTTGTATCATTGCGATACTATAAAGAAAATGAGGAATTATATGGAAATTATTAAATTGAGAATAGGAGAATAAGAATCAATAAATAAATAAAAGAAAATGGAAATATATATTAGATATTTACCTCTTCGATGAGTTTGTCTTCGGTAACAGATTATAAGAATTATTAGAAAAATACCCATCATGAAGAAAGATTCTTATATGACGTTTGAGATAGTTAAGGAATATAGAAACTAATAAATATTTTTATAGTTTTTTATTAAAGCTTACATATAAAATAGTTTGTTCAAATAGCGGTTACCAGAGTTGACGTTCAGATTTTTTAAACTCTAATGTGTTCAATTTGTAGAGCACATTGAAGTATATAAGAATATGTATTTGTTTTTTCCATGTCTCTTATTTAATGAAAGAACGCGAATGCAAAACATTAGATGATAGTTAGTTCTACTATTATATCTTCTAACAGTTTATACATGAAGGCTCTCAACATAGGCTCTGCATGCTTTATGAAACAACTACGGCAATAAACATATTCAGTACAATACATAGGCCTGATGTGAGGATGTCTAATAGAAGACCATCTTTTCCTTTATTTGAAAGAGTCATCCCGTTAAACAAGGCCAAGACAGCAATGGGTGCGTTATCGTAGTTTTCTAAAGCTCCAAAAAATTTAAAAAGCGTAGGTGAACAAAGTAAAGCCTTTGGAGAAGGTAGGAGGCCTTATAATCTCACAAGATGATAAAGTTCAGCGCTTTAGTTTCTATGGTTCTTGAGTTACGACTACCGAAAAGTGAAAAAAGGGTGAGTACGTTACCTGTAGACAAACGGAATAACGTGTATAGAGTTATAATTTAATTGATCCTTCTCGTACTCTTGAAAGTCAACTTTCTCTCCAGATTTAAAAAAATGAGTTTAACATTTCTGAACAAGATTTGTACAATTGAAATAATAGAGTATTTTTCTATCTTAGCATTATTAACACTATTTTTTACTGATTTTTATCACTAGATCACAGATATTGTTGGATGGGTGACATGGGTGCCATAGATTTACACAATACGCAACCACTCTCTTGGCCAAATACAGTTCAATTAACATTAAGTATTCAAAATTCCAGCGAAATAAGCCTTTTATTTGAACAAAATGCTTTGCCTGCAATTGAATATTTGGATATTACTATACAGAATCTGAATACTAATTTACCTTCCGATGTAGATATATCAGCACCAAACATTCAACTTTCGAAAGATTCTCTACGACAAACGGCTATTGGTAGTGCTTATCTGAAACATTTACTCTTACGCTATATAACTTTGAATGATGTTATCATATTGATTGGTTCGTTAATCATGCCTTTACTTGAAGAGTTGATACTTATTAATATGTATGACAATAGTAAGTTATTTCCTTATCTATTATTCTGACAATGAGCGATTATAATCATTCAGTTTTATCCATAATATATATTCATCACAACGATTTTTTAATCGAAAGTGATCGCGAATCTTATAGGCTGTAATGATTTGTATTAATAATGATGAAAAGACTTCGATTTTGGAAATAATGATCATATATATATATATATATGACTATATGATACGCATAGTAGTTAGTTGGCGGGTTTAGTCAAAAATAGATAAAGGAAAGTGTCGAAGTATTTAACTATATGATAATGAATGAAATAATTGATAAATATTTAGTTACATACACATAGAAACAAGTGTCACATTCTTAAAATCTTTTCAATTAGAGAAGGAAGAAGTGGTAGTTTAGAAATTGTTTCCTTAAAAACGTTCTATTAAAAATTCTCTGTTTTGTAACTTCAATTACTTGATGGCTAACACTCTAGAGAAAGATGTTCTTTTTCCCTTCAAGTAATTCAATGTGTTGTTTTTATTGTGGATCTGATCAAGTGAAGTCGAATGCCTATGATTTTGAATGCATATTGAGATGAAAAGGTTCATTTCATTTCTTTTCTTTGCAGCTTTAGATCGTTTTGGTCAATTTCAAGAAATTTGTAATTCTACATACTTACCTTCTTTGAAAACTCTTCATTTCTCATTATGTTTTCCTCAAGAAATCGAACATGCATGGAGAATGAGTTCATTCAATTGCAATCGTCAATGGCCTTTTGACAATATTAATTCTTACATAGATGAGTGTTATATGCGTCCTCTAAAAGAAAGAGAATTTATTCCAAAAATCGTATTTGTTATCTATAACTGTCCAATTAATCTTCTCTATCGTCATAAACAATATTTTCACAATTATGGTTTCGCAACACATGTATCTGCTCCTATTCGAACAACTCAACGACGATTTGTTCAATGGACATGTGATCAGAAATATGACGCTGAGCAACTTAACAAAACTCTCCAAATAGTTGCAAGTGGTCAAGTTAATGAACTTCGGTTAACATATTTAAATGAACGAGTAAGTCGAAAAAAAAATCAGTCGAATGAAGCTTCTTAGTTTCGAGTTTGAATTGTAGTACTTTATGTATAGAAAGTTCGAAGCAAATCAGAATAGATTGTATTAATAAGAAATTGATAGAAAATAAATACATCTCATACTTGAACGTCGTTAATTCGTAAATTAAATGTTATTTTATATGATAGAATAAACAAATTGATAGCATAAAGAATAAAGAATAATGGGAAAACTGTTTTGCATAAAAACATAAAATTTTATCTTCCTCTGATATTTCGGAAAAAGCTACGTAGTCACAAACGAGAAAAAAGTGTTGGAGGTAAGATATTTTCTATCCAGCATTCACAATTCGCTCTCATTTGCTAGCATTTTGCCGTATTGGAATGCTGTGCACGATAAGAAAGAATTGTGCTCAGTCTTTTCTGCTATTATGTCAACTGTTTATCTATTTACGGATCACTAAAAAAAAATTTCTTTATTCTTTATTTTGTCTTTATTTCTCAAAATAAAGCAACACCCTATTCTTAACCAAAAATCGTGAATTAATTTGAGTTTATGAATATATTAGGGATTTAATTGTAAAATCTAGCTGACTGAGATAAGTATTTAATTTTCGTTATTTTTTATAAGTTCTCCACCGATTAAATTTGATATTTCAAGTTATCGAAGATTTTGTTTTTCTTAGAATGTAGTATGTAAATTAATTCATATGGAAATTTTCAACGATATTTTCTAAACGTCTATGGTCATGGAAGAAGATCGATGAAATAAATCTTACTTTGATTTTCTTTTGTGACTAGAGTCTATTGTAAGTCCTCGGTGACCGGAGATATCTATCTTTATATTTGATCGATTTGGACTTCTATTGATGTTTTCCGTCGCGAAGAAGGGAAAACGTTGTTCAGGAATGTCACAAGATGAATCACTTTATATATCAAATACAAAAGACAAAATTCCTACTTTAAAACATTTATGATATTAAACATAAATATAATTTGTTCCGTACATCACTCTATATCTTTCCTCATGTTTTTCTAATGATTCGATTGTATTAAATTTGAGTTTCTGAAAAATCAAAATTCTGATGATATAAAAAACAATCATTAAATGCTGTAAGTTATATATTTGCACCTTTTAGACAAATACATCAATGATGTCAAAATGTGATTCACATTGGAATTTATCGCTTAATCATTTACAATCGATTACATTCAACATCAAATCAGATTTAATTCATCAATGCGAACGTATTGCCATGATCGAACAAGTTCTTGATGCATCACCAAATCTTTCATCTCTCGTAATAGCATGGAGAGATTTTCGACACTGTTCACGAAAATACTTAAATCTCAAATACGTGCACCTCTTATTAAATGGAAAATATAAGAATCCTAAACATTATTTTGACATTCGTCGATTAAATGAATTAGTACCTCATCTATATACACTCGAAACAAGTGATTCAGTTATGATGCTGAATAAGAATCTTATTGAATTTATTTTGAACATTAGTCATCAATTTAATCAATTAGTGCATTTAGTATTAAACAAAAATTGTTTAAATGGATCTAGAGACAAAAAAAAACTCAAGTTCAGAGACAAACTAATTGCAGCTAGTCATGATCAAATATTTCATGGTTATAATATGCATTTTCGATTTTATGGATATGATGAATTACGTTTTTGGTTCTAATATTATTAAAAAGATTTGTTTTTCAATATAAAAAATGTAGGTTCGCGAGCGAGAAGATGTGTAAAGAAAACTTTGTTCATTTTTCTAAACAAAATATCCAAAAAGATACAAAATTTTCCAGCTTCTCCTTCTATTTTTAAAACAATTTTGAAAGTGCGCTTAATTGTCTTTCCATCTGTAATTATTGCAACAAAGTTCGCCATTGTAGTATCAAAGTAATTTTGTTATTAGATTTATTGAAAAAACTATTCAATCATCATTATCAATAAAGAAAAATAAAGGAATTTTTATACATAAATTATTTATATTAATTATTTATGTTATGTTTATATCATTAAATCAAATCTTTACACAATTTTTTCATGAATATAGTTTATTAATTACAATTATTGTAAAATCAATTCTTATTTTCCTTTGGTTACCACCATTTTTTAATCAAAAAACAAATCAATAGAGTATAGATAAACAAATATATTTTATAGAATTTTTAATAATTTTTATATATTTAACATTATTCTTTGGTGTTCTCATTTTGTGGTATCGTTATTGTTATGAACTTAATACACGAATAGCAGTCATTTTTATAATATTTCTATTAATCTGTGCAGGTCTATTATTATTCTATTATATAGCACCATGGATAAAATATTTATCATTAATAATGTCTTTAATAAAGTAGCGAGAGACATGAATCGATTAGTATTTATACGCAAGCATTTTCGATAATGTTTATTTCACTTACTTTAATTGGATTTGTTGGGTTTGGGTTTGGTTTTGGTAGCTCTATTTTTACAGAAACAATTCATAATAACAATAATTCATTATTATATACACAAACATTATCAGGTAGCTTTAAAACATTCGACAATGATGAAGAACAATAATATAGAATGCAAGCATGTTATTGGAGCTTTAATAGTTTTAAAATACAAGATATGGCACTATTTACTGCATTAGCTTATATACCAACTGATAAACTAAAATCAGACATAAAACATTTTTATCCAAAAAAAAATAACTTGTCTTTGATGAACAATTTCATCATTATAGGGAAGATGGTCATGGTGAAATAACTTATTACACTTTAGACACACTACAATCAGTTATTGTAGTTTTACGTGGTACAACATTACTTTATGAATGGTTCATTGACTTTAATATATGGATAGAATCATTGATAAGTCAAAAGATTTCAATATTATTTCCGTGGTCAAGATGATATTCACGTAGTGTTTATAAAATAATTGTCAATCAAATGTCATTATTTGAAAGTTTCATTAATGATAATAGTGATACATTAGAATAATCATCTAAACGTTTTTACATTAAACAAATGATTAAAACATTGGAAAAAATAAATATTAAATATAAAAATAAATCATTGATATTAGTTGAACATTCACTTGCCGGTGGTTTAGCTCAATTAGCTGGTATTGCATTGAATAATATAGTAGTTGTTGTATCTATTAGTGAACCGGGTATATCATATTCTCGTGCTGAATATAGTGAAACGGAAAATATTCTAATGGATACAATCAATAAACGTATATTCTATATAATACATGATAGAGATGTTGTTCGATGGGCAGATAAACACGCTGGACTCATTCAATATATAATACGTCAAAAAGCATATAGCAGATTATAATGTCATGCAATGAATCTAATATTTTGTAAATTATTAAAAAACTGTGAAAGTCCGGGAAGCTTTAAAATAAATAAAGACATAAGTCAACCATAACAAAGCATACCTTTTCGAACTGCAATATCTAATTATAAGTTTTTACTTTTTTTTGATTGTTGAACTATAGTGAATTAGACCAATTGCTCAAATAAAAACTAGAAAAATATTGAGAACGTATAAAGATATTCAGAACTGAACTGAATGACATTTGAATATGTAGATGTCAGGTATATGTAGTAGAACATTAACAACCTAAACAATTAAAGTTTATAAACAACACGTTTCTATATAGTGCGGCTAAGTGGATATTAGTATTTTTGTCACTGCCTTTCTAGCACAGTATAAAAGCTAGCGGAACTTTTTTATTTCACCCACACTCTTAAATTAACTACAATTTTTCCATGTGATATAACTTTCAATAATATTAAACTAAAAAGCGATCTCCCTTGTTTATGTCCTTTCGACCTCTGATTTTCACACGCTAACATAAATATTATGAGCAGTTGGATGACGCAGACAACATGCAATTAAAGCATTTGTATATGCAGCATGACAGATCAAGAGATTCTATTTCTACAGCATTTCAATCAAAAGTTTAATTTGCAGATGAATTTGATTAGTGTTTCATTGGCACACATATTAATTAAATTCTGACATGTTTTTATATTTTAGCTATTAGGCTACGCTTCAAGATATTCTTTGATTTTATGAATGACGTCTATATAAGAGTTTCATATCAACACATTCTGGGCATACTGATAGCAATCAAACTCCATTAAGAGTATATTTCTATTGATAATCCTACGCGTTAAAATAGTATTAGAAAATACACATTTTTCTATATATACTTTCCTTTTTATTAACTAGAATGCATTTTAGTCGAAGTTTCGAAATACAAATACGAAGTTTTTCATCTTTATTCACACTCTTTGTTTCGTCTTAATCTGTTGATTTTCTTCTCAAATGGATTATTTCACAAATCAAAATAAAGTAAATTTTGATGAACAAAAATGTCAGTAATGCAAGAATTCCCATAGGAACATTAGTTCAGGTAATTGCAGTATGTATAGAATAAAACTGAATCAAAGTAATGTTTCTTTTTTCTTCAGAATCAATCATTAAAAAGGTGTTACCATATTTTTCTGAAACTAGAATAGCGGAGTTATTTTTCGACTATGATACAGAAGGCTAGTAATACACGATATGTTGTTCATCCTATTTAAATGCATTACATTTACTCAGGAAAAAGACAACGGCGCCGTAAACGTTAGAAAACCGGTAAAATGCGGCGGAAAACGGTTTCAAAATGTCACCATAATCCGTCGATCCAGAAATGTATAGAAATAAGGAGGGAAACGATGGCCGGTGTCTAGTGAAAAAACAGCCTGTATTCCGAGTTGACGGATTACGGTGAAATACGACTAAGAATAAGGCACTGAAACGCCGTTTTATAGTCGCTTCAGGCCGGTTAAGACGCCGTTTCTGGCAGCCGGAATGGTTAACATGGGTAGCTACTACACAAATTGAAGATAATAGTTTGAAAAAAATTATTAATTTATTGTTGGTGGAAAACGACAAAGAAGAAGATTCTAATATCGTTATATATGTACTGAGGTGCATTTACATTTATGCAAATATTTAATACCTGAGCGTTTGATAATGGCAGAAAGGATTGTCGTAAGAAATTTTTTCCTATTACTACTATTATTCAGTAACTAAGAATTTGTGATGTCTGAATTTTTTTTTTGGGATGAATAACAAGAACGGCAACAAGAAAAGGATCTTATTAAAGAAACAGTCAAAATACTGGAAAAAGATGAAAATATTAGTTTGGAAATATTTAAACAGTTGACGAAGAAGTACAATGTTCAACTTCAGTAATATTCATATTCATTGGCTTATAATGAAAAAAAATTTCATTTTTTTGCTACACATCAAATCTAGTTGGCTTTTCCGTAAGATACAGCTGATTTTTATTTTATGATTCCCTACATTGTCTGTTCATATATAGACAGGAATTGTGACGCAAACATTAGATCATTGTCATTTTTTAAATAAAATAACGTTTTCTTTTCGGTTTAGAAAAGAAAAATTTTGAATCAATCAGTAAATGATAGAAAAATGTTCTGTTGCATTCATATGAAACACAAAATAAATTGATCTCTTATACAAAGTCGATTTTTTAGTTCAAGGATAAAAGAATTATGAGTAAAAACATTAGTATTGAATTGATTATATGTATTACGTCACACTTTTCAAAGAAAAGATCAATAGAAAAATCCATAGTTTGATGGTTGTATAACATACAAAATAAGATTTATTGAGAGATCATTATACATGAATCGGTAATTGACATGTTGATATAATACGAGAAGAGTAGATTGATTTTTAGCGATATATTTTCTTATAGTTGTAATAGTTTTGCTTATGATAGAATAGAGTTTTCAACTTTTCAATAAAAGCAAAGTACTTTAAATTCAACAATTCAACTTGTGACGTTTAGATATTATTTTTTTCTTGATCAAGGATAGCTTTTATTAATAGATGAACAATTAAATTTAATATTTAAAACGCGATTACTTGATACAGATGGATGTATATGAGAAGAAAAACGTAAAAAAATGATCAGATGATCTATATCGTACATTATATATACATTTATAACAGATTGTTTTCCATTAAAAAATATAGAACATCATAAAAGATATACAAGGATATCATGATTATACAGATACAATAAGATAAATTTTCTCTGCAATTGAATTATCTTTATTTTATTATTAGAATTATGAATAATACATCATATACATTCACGCACGAACGTACCTACAGGCAATAATGTATGACTTTTTGACATTCTAAAAATTGACCTGTTTATTTTAGTAAATCTTTTTGATGTAAAGATTACTCTAATAATAAACTATGTTCTACTAACTAATTAACTTTTTTCATGTTTTTTCTTCAAGTTAATTAATGATTGTCAGTAGTTGATACAGAATTATGATAATAACTAGATAGCCCATGAGTCGAGATACGTCTGCGAAATGTGATGCGAAGCTCGATTTCAAATTAATAATTTTAAGAGTTTCATAAAATTCTCGATATTCACGTTTAGAGTAGAATCAAGTCAAATTTATATCATCGATCGTTTTAATTAAATCGAATATCCTGTTGAAAATCAGAAAACGAATGATATCAGTTCGATCTTGGTATTTTAATCTCGCGTTTAAACAAATATTTTCCGATGTTCCATTGCTGAGATCAGTGCGGCATAAAATTACCACTTTGAATGCATATCTCGAGAAAGTAAAAAAAAGGAAAAAATAAAGAAAGAAACTCGCGGAGAACTACATAAATGCTCTGCTTCGCATCACATTAATTATTTTAAACTTGACATCATCAATGTCTACAGATATTCTGAAATTCGCCACACATTATTCATTCTATACCGGTTGTATTTTATCTACTTTCGGATTTATTGGTAATATTCTCAATATTCTTGTTTTTACTCAACTAAAACTCTTTCGAGATAACCGATGTGCTTTTTACATAATCGTTGAATCGATTAACAACTTTATTTATCAATTTTACTTCTTAAGCTTAACAATTCTTACATCAAAGTATGGTGATGATGCAACAGGAAGATCTCTCGGCTGGTGTAAATTTAGATACATGTTAGCACAAACACTTTCACTCACCTCATATTACACAATTTGTCTTACTGCTATTGATCAGTTCTTTTCAACTAATCATCAGTTGCATTTGAGACAAATGTGTACATTGAAACTAGCTCATTATGTTACCTTCATATCTATTTGTATTTGGATAGCTCATAGTATTCTTTCTGGTTGTCTTTTCGATATTCAAGGATCACTTGGATGTGTTGTATCAAATTCAATATGGCAACAGTACATATCCTCCTTTTTCTATCCAGTTTTAATTGGCCTTTTACCCATTGCAATTGTATTATTATTTAGTTTATTAGCTTTTCATAATGTTCGTCGTATAGTTCGTCGACAAATCCCAATTGTTCGTCGTCGATTAGATCAACAGTTGACAGCAATGGTTCTAATGCGTGCTGTCATTGCCGCTTGTTTCATATCACCATACATTATATATCGTATTTACATCACTAAGTTTCCCGTTTCACAAAATCAGTCTATGCAATATGCGATTACACGATTAATTCAAGCAGTCTGTCTCTCTTTAATCAACATACATTTTTCGGTAAAATCATTCTTTTTTTTAATGTAATTGATATTTATAGTATATTTATTTTTAATAGGCAAGTTTCTATATTTTTCTCATATTATCATCACGTTTTCGTCGTCAAGTGAAGTTTCTTTTGGTTAAAAAGTATTGGCAACGATTGAAATACTTGTGTCACCTACATAATAACCAAATTAATCCAGAAAATGCAGAAACATTTGGTACAGATATGGAACTTGCATAAAAATTGTCATTATACTTTGTGTGTATTAATCATCCTGAGGATGCGCGTAGGTGTTATCTCTAAACATCATATACATTCACGCAATAATGCACAATTGTTTTGACATTACAAAAAATGACCTGTTTATTTTAGTAAATCTTTTTGATGTAAAGAATACTTTAATAATAAACTATGTTCTACTAACTAATTAAATTTTTGCATGTTTTTTCTTTAAGCTAATTAATGATTTTCAGTAGTTGATTCAGAATTATGATAATAAAAAGGAAGAAAATGAAATTAGATGGCAATATAAAACATAAAAGAATTTGTAATTTTATGTTAGCAATCTCTTTATGTTTTTTATCATAAAGTCGATTATCTTACACGCATAAGCTCATTAATGATAAATCATTAAAGTGTAACAAAGCGTTTATATTTACTTTAAAAAACGTATATTCATATAAAATAATTATTTTTATTGTTTCACATCTATATCAGTTAACAGTTAAAGAAATAAAATCTCAACTCACAACTAGTCAGAATAATGTCAACTCAAGATATATTGATTTTCGCAACAAGACAAGTTCATATCTATTTTGGTTTGGCCATGACGATCTTAGGTGTTATCGGTGGAATATTTAATATTATAATTTTTACAACGCTGAAAACGTTTCGAGAAACAACTTGTGCATTTTATCTGACAGCTGTTTCAGTGGTTAATATCATTCAATTGCTAATAGTATTGTTTGTACGTGTTCTAAGTGAAGGTTTTTCTACTGATATTAGAAGAACATCGTGGGTTTGTAAAATACAAATATATATGGCTGTATGTTGTCGTATGGTATCAATGACATATGTATGCTTAGCAACGATTGATCAATTCTTATCCATGAGTCACTATAGACGTTTTAGTAATTTAAGATTAGCTCAACGTTGTATATTTATTACTGGAATTTTTTGGAGTTTATATGGTATTTGTTTTCTCATTTATTACGATGTATCTTTAGGCATATGTGCGGTCATTAATTCAAATTTTGGAATGTTTGTAACTCGTTTTCAATATCCAATACTTTATGGAGTTCTACCTCTAACCACAATGACTACATTTTCTCTATTAGCTTTTTATAATGCTCGTACATTAATTAGTCGACAAATAAATATTATACGTTTAAGTCGAGATCGACAATTGACAGCAATGACACTTGTTCATGTTGTATTTGTTGTAATTACTACATTACCTTATATTATTTATTTTATTTATTCACCTGAACAAATAGCACGTAATACTCTTATCTATGCCATCTTGCTTTTAATCTTTTATTTAAGTTTTGCTGTAAGTATTTTTACTTGTGAAAAAACAGAAATCATGTTTATTTTTGAAATAATATAGGGTTCTTTCTATATTTATTTTTGTGTTTCAAAACGATTTCGACAACAATTCATTTTCATAATTTCAAGTGTTTGTATAAAGCAATGCCAACAATGGATGAACAAACGAAATACTAATCAAGTTGTACCAAATATTGAAACAATCGATGATATCCAACTTACATGAACAAAAACAAACAGAGACTCTATTGATATTGCTTTTATGAAGTGAATAACGAAGTTATAATCTTTATTATTGTGTGTACAGTAGTTAAATTTAGAAAATAAATATTAGTTGTTGTTATGTTCAGTAATATATTGCAATAAAAGTTACATCTAATATACATCAAATACGTAGAAAACAGTAAAAATTTCTGCGTGAACGCCTTGAATCAGTTATAATCAAACAAAAAGTAGTCTCGTGTTATAATAACAGGTATCTAATGGTATATTTTTAAAAACTTGTACTTTGGACTGTTTTACGCAGCATTTATTGTGTATATTTACTGATGCTATAAAAAAAATATTACTTCCTTCCTTTTGTTATAATGTATTTTTTCTAAATTTATTTTCATTTTATTATTAATGCAATATAAACTAACTCGCTTAAGTTAACTTTAGGAAAAGAAAATGTGCTTTCTCCCAGAGTAAACTCAAACAATCTCTAAGCTATTATGATAGAAACAACTCATTAATATATGCTTGATATTATCTAGGATATTTTGAGATTTGGGGGTGATTATAAGAAATAAATAAGTCTATACACGCGACACTTGCATCCCAACAACCTTTGCTCTTCAATAGTATCAAACAGACTTTCTACAAGTTATAGGAACAATTTATAAATTAAATTAATTTATTGAACACAGTAATAATGGAAGACAACAAAAAAAAATAACAAGAAGAGATTAACTGATTAAAACCCCGAACATAGTCAACATGTTAAGCTTAATGTAATGGTTTATTTTTTATTCGAAGCCATTAATTATTTATATCGTCAGCATATGATATTAAATAAGTAACTAGAAGAAAGTACAAAAGAAAACAGAATAGGGTAGTTTTATTCTCTTCATATTATTAATGATCATCTTGCCGATCGACAGTTGATATTGGCGAGTAAATATCACAGGAGAACAGATGCTATTGGGGAGCAAGTGTCGCGGATGCACCTTTCAAGAATTCGATTAATATTCCTCATAACATATTAAATTTTGCACATAGACACTTATTGTATTGAATCTTTCTCGGAATCAAATTGGTGACGAAGAAGCTCGACAATTAATAGCAATTCTATAAGATAATAAACTAAAAGATTCGTTTTCAGGCTTCGCATTTTTATTTTTAATTATATTGAAGACGTTGATCAATTTACACCTGATCAATAATCAAATCAGTAAATCAATCCAACGCGAATTAAAAACAAGAGATCCGAGAATTGCATTCCAATGATATGAAGTTTTTATTTAACCAGAAAATTATTATTCAAGAAATCATGCTTCACTTCGTATTGCTCATATCAATAAATAAATTGAAAGAACAAGAGTGTATAAGAATCTATTTTAGATTGTTGAGCATTTTTGCATTGAGGGCGATGGTGTGAGTGCAAGAGCATACAAATATAGAAGCATCTTTATTTTTATTTACTCCTATCAAAATATGATTGGTATCATTGGAATTCTTCTGCGATGTAATATTTTATTATAGAAAAGAACTTAACCTTAATAAGAGTCAAGATTCAATCTAACCACTTAGTATTTCATAATAATATGTGAGAAGTTATTTCAAAATAATAAATAACATTTCTCTAAGTCTCTGCGTATGAATCTAACAAAGTGAGTCGTTCAATATTGCATATCGCTTTAAAACTTAAACTGCAGAGCTCAAACAACTCTTTATTTCTGACTGTTTATATTATTATAAAAAAATCGTAAGAATGTAATACTCATATCGTCATTCTTAAAATTGTTAAAAAATATTTTCTAGGTAGTAACAATTATATTCTATTGGTTTATATTATATCTATGTTATTCATTGAATTCATTTTATACTCTATTGATGACTCTTCATATTTATTCGATCACGTACGATGAAATAGGCGATGGCATGACGTATTTTTGATATTATTTTTCTTCTTCGTCTTGTTAGAGTAATAGAAAAAAAACTGATGATAGATGAAAAACAAGGAGAAAAGAAAAAAGAAGCGAAATACGTAGTGGAACAATCCCTTGACATACCCCGAAGCTGATAATATAAGAAAAATAGAGAAAGAAAGAAAAAAAATAACATACCCCACATTGTTTTTTTTAGAGCACACAATCGAGGAGAATTTGTTTAGTGTTAGAAGGAGAACTAAGATTTTATTCCAATACAAGAAAAAACTAATGGCGGTAAAAAGATTTTTAATCAATCAAGATCAAAATCGAAAGTTTCGTTTAAATGGCATTTTTCCCTCGATACGTTTGCCACAGAAACATCATTTACGTCAACTGTTCAGTAAGCATGTTATGTACAGTTCTGATCAATTACCACCAAAAGCAGATCTACGTGATTCCATGACTCCAGTTGAGGATCAATCTCAGATTGGCAGTTGGTAAGATCCAATTGTTTTTTCTTTGCAAACAATTTTATTTAACAAGAAATCCATTTTTTTTCATTTAGTTCGGCAAATTGTCTTGCTGGTAAAAGAAATATTTCTTATCTTAATTCATATATAGATAAGAATAATTATTTTTAGGTGCTTATGAATATTTAACAAAGAAACAAAGTGGAAAAAATGTTGATGTTAGTCGTTTATTTATTTATTACAATGGTCGTGTTAAAGAAGATAATGATGCTACTATAACTGATTCAGGATGTACAATGACATGTGCCATTGAAGCATTAGAACAATCAGGTGTTTGCCTAGAATCAATTTGGCCTTATGATATTTCAAACGTAAATGAACGTCCATCTGATGAAGCCTATCAAGCAGCAGAGCCTCATAAAATAACTCAAGCATTACAAGTTAATATCGATTTAAATGAAATGAAATCATGTTTAGCACAAGGTTTTCCATTTGCATTTGGTTTAAAACTCTATACATCATTTGATAAAGCTACTAATACTGGTGTTGTACCAATGCCAAGTGATTCTGATCGTAATCGAGAATCCGATGGAAGGTCAGTTTTTCAATTAATGATATATTGAATAATTGAAATATTTGTTTTCTTTAGTCATGCTCTGTTAGCAGTCGGTTACAGTGATCAATCACAATCATTTATTGTTCGAAATTCATGGGGAGAAAATTGGGTAAGAAAATTTTGATTGATTTATCTTTAAATTTTTAATATTATTTTATCAGGGTGATAAAGGTTATTGTTATATTCCATATGATTACATAGCAAATTCCGATTATTGTTTTGATGTGTGGACTGTTCGAAAAATGGAAACTGATGATTTTGGTCAAGATCATTGGGATCAAGATGATTCAACTGATTATCGACAAATGAGTAATGACGATGATTATAGTAATAGTATCATTCAAGATTTTGAAGATGAAAGTAAGAATATGTATCATATTTAAAATAGACTATCGAAATTTTAATTCTATTTAAAAATTATTTTTTTTTTTCTTTAGGATTTGATTTCAATGATGACAATTGAACAGAACAATATTTCTTAATCAAATTTCAATTAACCATTGTTTTGTCATTTATCTATGCTAGAAATAGATTTCGTTTTATTCTTCATTAATCTTCGAATTAGTTTTATTTGCACGTTATTCATATTTTTAATATGTTTTAAACAAAATTCCAAATAAATAAAAAGATAAATATATATTTGATTTCTATCATACAATAGTTAAAACAAGAAAACCATCTTGAGGGTGTCGGTATAAGTATTTATCAAACACGTATTCACACCATCTAGAAACAAATGTTCAGCATACCCTTATCAAATTGTTTTTATTTATAAACTTAGTTTATCATTTGATTTGTATTGTTCTTCACTTAATAAAATGTTTCTTTCAATTCATATCATTACTATTGTTTTGAAAAATAAATTCTGTATCTATTCAAGGATATAATTATTACAAAATACGCAAAAGCTTCACGTGTTCTTCTTCATATAATATATTTATTGTTATTGATATATAAAGAAATGAAGCATAACCAAAGAGAAAAGATATGTTATATAAGGAATCGAATAAAATTTGTTGCATTCGTTTGTTTTTACCTTCATTCATATAGCAGTATTCATAAACAATTTTCATGGAAAACAACAATATTAATCCCAATAGCGCTGTTTTCAGTGGTTTTCCTGGTGGACATGATACAAGTAAGATTTCGTAGATTTGTTTTTGATTTTTAAAATAATATAAAAAAATGTATGTTTTATATTAAGTTCCTGGTCAAGGAAATGTTCCACCAGCAGCTGCTGGTCTTGCAAACCCAAACATAAGTGGTAGTTCTCAATTAGGAGCCAATTTACCTCATGTCGATCCGAACAATTTTCCCGGCGTAGTTCATTGGGGACCTGAATCAGTTGTTTCAGGTGCACAAGTCCAACAATTGCCAACTAGTCAAGCAAACAAGGATTCTTAAACTGATTCAAATATACCTATATAAACAAGCAAATTATTTTTACAAAATAAACAATAAACTATATTCGATTTTTAGAAATGTATTCATTAATTCATGTCTTCAATGAGAATTAATAGTTATTAAAAATTAGTTGATCGAAATATTGTCAAGTTATCAAAGAGGAAAGAACATGTTTCGTTTTGATTGTAAAAAATTGTGTAAGATTAATATAAATATCTTTGTCAACATGAATACATATATTTATCCACACATTCGTAATATTTAAAAAAAAGAATTATTTCTTAATAATAGACAAATGATTGATATTTCTGTTGATGATTATTTATAGCAAGAGTGACACTTATTAAAGTTTATT